GGTGAGCGAACACATACCGGCGTTCGCTCACCTCTCGATCCTGTCACAGCTCTCTGCCGTGACAGGGGAGGGGCTGGATTCCCCCCGCTCCGATCTGCCAGCGCTGACTGGCGGAACGGACGGGGGAGGGGGCGGGTACAGCTGGCTCTGCCTCTAGATAGGCAGAGCCAGCTGTCAGTCACGCAGCTGGGCGGATCTCGGCATAATTGTCGGGATCCGCTTCAGCGTCTCGGTATACTGAGCCTAGGGTGACGGGAGGACGCTAGTTTGTGTCCTCCCGTTACCTTAACCCCATAGTTCTCCTTTAAAGTGACATTAAACCCTCAGATTTTTTTACATAAACCAATACTGTAATGTGTGCCTTACTGTAATCCATGGTAGTTTCCCTTCTCTTTGCTGCTCTTCCGTTTAAATTATTTAACTCTTCTCATGCTGGGGGAGAACTTCCCTTTGCAGCTGAGTGCCTCTTCCTGTAGTGCTGGCTCAGGTTGTGAACCTACACACAGACACCATGTATCCATTCCAGAGACAAGGCAGTCTGCTGCAAAACAGAAGTTCTGCCCAGCATGAGAAGAGATACGGATTTAAAAAGGAAGAGCAGCAAAAAGAAGGGAAACAACCATGGATTACAGTAAGGCACACATTACAGTATTGGTTTATGAAAAAATCTGAGTGTTTAATGTCACTTTAAAGCTGGTAAGGATTTATTCCTTATTTATCTGATTAATAATAAAAAGGTGCACACGGCTACAAACCTTACGCCAGATCAGATAACCACATCATTTGAAACCGGCGTGTCTGAGTGTAACAGAAACAAACATGAGTGCTGATCTCATGCTGTGACACAACAGTTATTTAGGGAAATGACTCTGAAAACATAACATGGCACTTACTAACCACCCAATACTATAATATGGATCTGCAGTTTATGATCTAAGTAGTTCTGGAAATAAGAAAATCAATGATAGAATTCCTATCTGACTAAACATACAAAATACAAAAATGGAGATGAAGCATGTCAATGAAGAGCTTCCAGAACTGTAATCTGTGTACCCTTGGTGATACTACTAAGGGCCTGTTCATACCACAGTGCTGCACTAATCGCATGATACGTGTTCGGCTAACTAATCGATTTTGAAAATAATCGTTAGCTGCAGCTCTAGTGTTTAATGCATGTTATCGTACCTAGTGTGAGTTACCAAGCGCGAATGCATCGCCACTTATTTGAATGGCACCGCAACGCACCTCCTGGCGGCCATACATGCACTACTTCTTTACCGCACTTCAAGGTATTGTGGTACTGTATGTTGCACTGCAATGCATGACCGCCAAGAGGTGCAGTGGGGTGCTGGTAACGCACACTAGGTGCATATGCTCCTGAACGTAGAAGTTTTGTGTGTAAAGCCGACGGCGTGTTTAAAGACGGCAGCCGTGGCACCCAGGTGCAGTAAATACAGGCAGATTTTATGCTATATGCCTGTGTGTAGGAGCCCGAATAGACTCAATGGGTACACCTGCTTCACAAATGAAGGAAAACCAAAAAAACTTTATTTATAACACAGAAATGTTTATCAGATCAGTGAGGTTTTCATCACCATCTCTGTCCACGCTGGGGTGATTCATCTTCTAGAAATGTCTTGGTGACAAACAGAAAGGGAAATAATCAAATGAGGACACTTGTTGCATTGACAACAAGCTGCGAGGTTTGTAGAGATTTTCTTTACTTTCTGCTGAGTCTATGAGATAGGAAGTGAGGGGAAAACTCCCCAATAGAACAGCGACAGAAAAAAAAAACCTGGCAGGCATTTTAACGCTTTCCTACCCTATCCAAAACTAAAGAAAAAAAAAAGGTTATGCCTTCAAATATATGTCTAGGTTGGAAATAAATGACCTACAAATCAAACAGTAAGAGATATGTAGAAAATATTCAGATGTATAGATTCCCGGGATTCATATAGATGTTCACAAGCAGTGCCTTGGACGCCACACATGGCTATGGTCTCATTCACATAGGCCTCCTGTGTTTGTTTTATTTAAACACAGGAGAAATTGATCTGGGAAGCACAGTGTTTGTTTTACATTGATATCCAAAATTTACATGCGTTTAAATATAAATCAGTTTACATGTGTTTTACATGCGTGCTCCATACAGACTTTTCCCTGCACACTCCTTTATATTTGCAAGCATTTGGCGTATCTAATCTAACGCTGGATGCACAGATTTCTATGAAAGTCTATATAAATGCAGTGAGTGTTTAATGCCATTTAAAATCATTACATGCATTTATAGGAGTTTATAAATGCATGTACATCACTGTTTCGTGTAAACGACACCTGACAAGTACTTTTAAGTTTACCATCAGCAACCTCAATATCAGCAGAGACACAGTACCTATACCTAGCCAAGTAGACGCTCCCAGAAGGAATATATCATAAGAAAAAAAACTTCAAAAGCCTTTTTTTTTTAAAGTCAAGGCCGGACAAATCCCCGACACAAGGTAGCCAATGCTCCATATAAATGACAGCTGACATCAAACTTTTCAAGTTCAATAGTTTTTGTCAATGGCGCTGGCTCCTAAAAAAAAATCCTCCTGGCTCCTGAATTGGACACACTGGCGCCTAAATTCCATATTAATAATTCCACCCCTGGAACCGGAAGATTAAAAATCCATCACATATTTTGTCATCTGTCCTATTCAGGAGATTTTCCTTCACTTCCCTCTAATGACAACAGGAAGTGAGAAGAAATAGCTTCAGTGAGGCAAGTCCATTGTAGACAGCTGCCAAAGGAACAACTGTCACAAGAAGTGACCACACTGGAAGATTTCTATTCTAGTTTTGCATTTTGGATTGTCCCCAAACCTTCAGTCTTGGTGACCGCAATCAACCTGCCTAAAGGGACACAGAAAGCACCAAATACCTGATAGGTGTTCTAACCCTTCACTATTCTGTCCAAACCAAAAACAAAAGTCTTGGCTTTAGGTATACTTGTATATTATTATTATTGCTAACAAAGTTCATCCAGGTAGTAGGTTCTCTCTAATAGTGTGACATGCAGTCTATTAAAAGTCGACAGGCCTCCGTGTCAGAAGTCACAATAAACAGATATATAATAGAACAGAGGTGAGTAATCTACAAATCAGTACACAGACAAAACTGTTCAAGATCATATTCTGAGGTGGGCATCTTAACATTGTTACACATCAGGCTGCAACAAAAACATGACTGAGCAAGATGCCATCTCCTGATTGCTATGACTGTTCTTTAACTCTTTAATAAGCATAAACGATTGGACAGATGTCATAATAAAGGCTTAAATGTGTACAGCAGTAGGTACAAGGGTATATTGCACTATCGGTACATCTAGGATAAAGAAAACCTTGAACAGTTATCTTTCTTCATGTATATGTTTCACTACAGCATAGAAGTACATTGAATAAGAGTTGCTCTATATATGAACCAGACAATATTTTGTTGCATCTAATGTAGGGTTACAATCATACCATTGGTCCCATATCTTATAGAACATGAGGGGAAAACGTCTTCTTATATATAATCTCATAGTATCTGCTTAATTCAATCATCTGATTACCCATCAATGATATACAGAAGGGGGAAGGAAGTGTTCATCCCACTGAACTGTCATGTGTACTGCTCCATTACAATGAACTTGATTTTGCTGACCTGCGTTCTAGTCACAGGAAAACAATGTCCATCTAAATGACTCCCTATAGGGGTTACACTGTCGCAGAAGGTTTGGGGGCCTAGACTCAACATGGAATTGAAAATAAGACACCGGAATAGTCACATCGTCACCATTAAGCTGCTCATATATTTCCTCTATTATAAAATATAAAACTGGCAGTGCAAGAAGTGGTGACCCCAAGGTCCGCAGGAGCTGCCATACACACTATGACAGGATGGAGGTCAGTATGAGGGGTACACTGGGCTGCCTCTGTATGGGTGTTACACCAGGTTACCTCTGATCTGTCTGTCTGAGGACACTATTTGGATACACTGGGTGAACTCAGTTCCTAGGTCAGTATGGGGGATACACTGGGTTTCCTCCACTTTTAGGACACTGGGGGGTACACTGGGTTTCCCTCATTCTGAGGACACTAAGGCGGATACACTGGGTTGCCTCAATTCTGAGGTTCATATGAGGCTACACTGTGTTACCTCTGATTGGCGGTCAGTATGAAGAATACAATAGATTACTTCTGATCAAAAGTCAGTACAAGGGTAAAGCAGGAAGCCTCTGATCTGAACTCATTATGGGGGTACATTGGGTGTCCTCTGATCCATCTGCAGTCACCATGGGGGTACACTGGGCCGTCTCTGATCAGAGGTCACCATGGGGGTACACTGGGCCGTCTCTAAACAGAGGTCATCCTGGGGGTACACTGGGCCGTCTCTGATCAGAGGTCACCATGGGGGTACACTGGGCCGTCCCTGATCAGAGGTCACCAGGGGGGTACACTGGGCGTCTCTGATCAGAGGTCACCATGGGATGTCCCTGATCTGTGATCGCTATGGGGGTACACTGAGATGTCCCTGATCTGTGATCGCTATGGGGGTACACTGAGATGTCCCTGATCTGTGATCACTATGGGGGTACACCGAGATGTCCCTGATCATTATGGGGGTACACTGGGATGTCCCTGATTTGTGATCACTATGGGGGTACAATTGGCAGCCTTTGATCTGAAGTCACTGTGGGGGTACACTGTCTTTGATCTCAGTCTGGGGGTACACTGGGCAGTCTCTGAACTTTGATCTCTTGTCTCTGATCTGTAAGGCGGGGTGCTCAGTCACCGTTCATGCAGGGCCCCAGCCTGTACAATTCTCGGTTCTTGTAGTAGTCTCAGGACTATGCATGGCAGCTCACTGGGCTGGTTTGGGACACAGCACACTTCCCTGCTCCTTAGGCCACACTGATCCCCAAGATGGCCTCCAGAGTGAGCAGTGTGGGCCCAGCTTCCTGTCATCCCCATCCTCACCTGTAACTCGGCCCTCTCCACCTCCCAGTGCGCTCTCTCCATCTCGAAGCGAGCCCATTCGTGCTGAATGTAGTGCAGGATCCCGGGGATGGTGTACTGCATGGGCCGAGCGGGGAGCTCACAGCCCGACTCTGATGAAGGGATTCCCTGCGCCGGGCTCTGCCCGGGGCCTCCGACCTGCGGCCTAGCCGAGGCAGCCATTCCCGCCACCGCCGGGTGATCCTCCATGTAGTCCCGGAGCTCCGCTGATTCGGGCACAGTCACGTGAGGAAGCAGCTCCGGTCACCGATGAAGAAAAGGGGGGCACGGCCTCGGTACCCGGCCACCCGGGGAGACAACTGTCCGCTCTATAACCTCCGCCCAATCACATTACCGACGGTCGCCATCTTTCAGCCCACCCCCGGGCCCGGTTTACTCCGCGGGGCACTCTGGGTAACCGGCCTCGTTCGCCGCCTCCCGCTTGACAGCGTCAACGCGCAGGCGCGGGACCCGTGAACTGACGTCACAAAGGCAACCTGCATCACGTGACTTCGCTCCGCCTTCCGCCGCCTCCTGACGCAGCTCGTACTAGTGAGGTCACTGATCGGGGGAGATTCTTCCGGCACCAAATTCTGAAAGTGACGTCACTGATACCGTACACGGTAACTCACTGCCTCACGTGCATATATATTGGGGGGAAAATGAACCGGGCCCGGTCTCTGCTACGACTGTGTGCCCGGAGCGTGCTGTGCTGACACTGCATTGGGATGACACAGCTCTGCTTATGAAACATTTCACATTGTAACACGTCATTCTATTTTAAATTGTGTCTAAAGTCAAAGCTTCTACTAGGGCCCATTCACACCGGGTCCATGTGATTAATGTACGGTAATGCACCTGCTGTGCGTAAGGTTGCCACCTTTTCTTCAAGCGAAACCCCAACAATCTCTTGCGACACGCTGACTTTTTTTGGGAGAATGAGTTGTGACTTATTTATATGTAACTAGCGCCACCCATTCATATGTAAATATCACAGTTGAGACTATTTTAAGTGGTGGGCCAGTAGCCCCTATCTTAATTTTGGTTGCCCCTGTCTGCCTGACCTCATGTTTCCGGGGTTTCTGCTGCCATGAAACCCGGACTGTCTAGACTCTAGGTCAATCCTGGACAGGTGACCACCCTAGCTGTGCGCCGCCATTCATTTGAATGTTACCACAAAAGCACACCTGTCTGCAATGTGATTGATCATCCGTCAGAGCGCAGTAACACAATACCATGCGATAAAGTAGCGCATGTAGCAAAATCTGCGGCATGCCTTCTGCGTTTTTTCCCCATGTGTTTGTGTGTGTTTGAACTTGTGGGTCAACCGCACCTTCTCCTAGCCATACTTGGGGTGCCACTAACTAGTAACTGCACCGCAAGTGCGTTTCCCGTTTGGCCTGCGTTTCTTAAAATGCGATGGTGTGACTGATGGCTTAGAGCAGGGGTCTCAAACTCAATTCACTTGGGGACCACAGGACACACTTGGGGGGCAGAGGGGGCTCTTGACAAATTGTATAATATTTCATACTTCAAAACAAAATGTAAATTAAATACACACACACAAAAGTATGCACACACATGTAAATACGCACACAAACACACATACAGAAATGTATACACACATTCTTCTAATAAAAGGAAGAGCCCCGTCACCTGCTTACATTTTGGCAGGGAGGAGGCAGATCCCTAGTGGTTCAGTGGTTGTCTGGTGCAGAATGTACTAATCCTTCCTATCGGCCGGAGCTCGGTGAAGACTATCCGAGCACACACTGAGTGCCGGCACCGCCAGAAGCAGCTCTGCGGTTTGCGTCTGACAGAAATGCAGGACCGTGTAGCTGCTCCCCCAAGTCAGGTACGTGGTCCATGACTGCGTTCCTGACTTGTCAGCAGGCTGCATGGTACCGGTTTGCGGGCCAGAATTGGCCCAAGGGCTGGTACTTTGAGACACCTGATCTAAGCAATGAGGATAGGGGGACCAATCGGTCATGACAAAAGGGATGAGGACAGAGGGGTGGAGGGGGAACCTATCAGTAATAGTATTGGCAATGAGGAAAGGGGACCAATCGGACATAATATAGACGGTGGGGAGGGTGGATCAGTCATAATCTACGCAATGGTAGGGGGACGGGACTGATCATTCCGATTATCTGGAAGGATAATCTGACTGCAGGTTAAGGTCTCTTGTCCATCATGCTGGCTGATGCAGGATTGGAGGAAGTCATAAGTGATATGTTTTGGATAGCAGATCCAAAACATATCACTTATGACTTCCTCCAATCCTGACAAGCAGAACTGACCTACATACAAGAATCCAATATAACAGCAAACTATATGCAAAGATCACACCTGAAGATCACTAAAGCACCACACTCCTCTCACTGTTCTCCTGTCACATGAAGCCAGTTTGTGCTCGGCTGTGTTCAGTCCATCACCCCATGGACAGCCCCACATTCCCTCCATGACCTGATCTGCAGGTATGATGATGATGCACATTGAATCCCATGCACACACCACCATATGCCCTGCTGGAACAGGCTGTGACAGCTCTGACATCATAAAAACAACAGATGACATCATCATACAGAGAAATGTTACCTAACCCTCCTCTCACGGTGCAACCTCTGAGAAGCCTGTTTAACTTTCCCGCAATAGAGAGAGTGCAGCCGATCCTGCAGGAAGGGCACCTAGAACTTGTGAAGGGTTTACAGAGCTGGGTATAGCACAGAGGTGGAGAGGGCAGAGAAACCACATTGCTGATGCCGCCTCACTACCCCTGCTGGTCACACTGACACTTGTATGGCCTTATTCCCTGGTGGTGCAGTGGTTGATTAGTACAGTTTGCACCTTTTGCTGGTGTAGACCTCATTAATCCTTCCTTTCATTCGGAGCTCGATGAAGTCTGTCAGGGCGCCGGCCGAAAGGAACCACTAAAAACCACTCTGCTACTGACTCCCTCTATGACAAGATCTCACCCATGTCCTGCCCTGACCTGGCTACTTCTGTTTTTAACAGCTCACTCTCATCCTCTCTAGACACTTTGGCCCCCTTCACAACACGCAGACTTAGACCACGTCCGCTACAACCGTGGCAAACTGAAGTTACCAGAGATCAAAAAACACAAAGCCGCACTCTTGAGCGACTGTGGCGGAGAACTAGGTCTCTGCAAGACTTTACCCTGTACAAAGCTGCCCTCCTAAAATATAACTCCTCCCTCCGTGCTGCCAAACAAACTTATTTTGTCACTCTCATTAACACACTCTCATCCAGACCTCGTCAACTCTTTTCTACCTTCAAGTCTCTACTATGTCCTCCACCACCACCACCCACTAACTCACTCACTGCCCAGGACATTGCCACTCATTTCATAAACAAAATAGATGCTATTCGGGATCAGATCGCCACTGTGCAGTCATCTTCCCCTATTCATGTACCAGACCCTCCATCACACTTGTTACTTTCCTCTTTTGGCCCTGTCACCACAGAGGAAGTTACAAAGCTCCTCTCTGACACCCACCTCACCACTTGCCCCCTGAACCCTGTTCCCTCAAAACTACTTCGGTCACCCTCATACTCTATCCTACACTCTCTTACTCACATTTTCAATCTTTCACTCTCTACTGCAATCTTTCCTACCCCTCTTAAACATGCACTAGTCACCCCAATACCCAAAAAACCTTCACTGGACCCTGCCAACCTCAATAATTTCAGACCTATCTCCTTACTCCCATTCACCTCTAAACGACTAGAACGCCTTATCTACAACCGCCTGAGCTGCCACCTCGCTAATAACAACCTTTTGGACCCCTTTCAGTCCAGCTTTCGCACTCAACACTCCACTAAAACAGCCCTCCTAAAACTCACCAATGACCTAATAACAGCTAAAAACAACGGCCACTATTCCTTACTCTTGCTATTAGACCTCTCTGCTGCTTTTGACACTGTTGACCACCCGCAGTAATTCAAAATATTAACAGTCACTTATAAAGCCATCCACAACTCTGCCCCCGGATATATCTCAGACCTTGTCTCAAAATATCACCCTAAACGTCCACTCCGCTCTTCCCTAGACCTCCTGCTTTCCAGCTCCCTAGTCAACTCCTCCCATACTCGCCTCCAGGACTTCTCTAGATTTTGTATGTTTGCCCACTTACAAAGAAATGAAAGGTCTATAATTTGTATCATAGGTGTATTTTACACAGAATATCAACCAACAATCCAGAAAAAACACATGATACAAATGTTATAAATTGAGTTGCAGTACGGTGAGTAAAATAAGTATTTGATCCCCAAGAAAAACATAACTTAGTAGTTGGTGGAGAAACCCTTGTTGCCAAGCACAGAGGCGAGACGTTTCTTGTAGTTGGTTACCAGGTTTGCACACATCTCAGGAGGGATTTTAGTCCACTCTTCTTCATAGATCTTCTCTAAATCCTTAAGATTTCTTGGCTGTTGCTTGGCAACTCGAAGTTTCAGCTCCCTCCATACATTTCCTATAGGATTAAGGTCTGGAGACTGGCTAGGCCACTCCATGACCTTAATGTGCTTCTTCTTGAGCCACTGCTTTGTTGTCTTGGCGGTATGTTTTGGGTCATTGTCATGCTGAATGACCCGTCCATGACCCATCTTCAGTGTTCTGGCTGAGGGAAGGAGGTTCTCATCCAAGATTTTACAATATATGGTCCCTTCCATAGGCCCCTCAATGCGGGAAAGTCGTCCTGTACCTTTACCAGGGATACAGCCTCAAAGCATAATGTTTCCACCTCAATGCTTGACTGTAGGGATGGTGTTCTAAGGGACATAGTCAACATTTTTCTTCCTCCAAACACAACGAGTCGAGTTAATGCCAAAGAGCTCAATTTTGGTCTCATCTGACCGCAGCACTTTCTCCCAATCCTTCTCTGAATCATTTAGATGTTCATTGGCGAACTTCAGACGGGCCTGTACATGTGCCATCTTGAGGAGGGGGGCCTTGCGGGTGCTGCAGGATCTCAATCCATGGTGGAGTATTGCGTTACCAATGGTTTGTTTGGTGACTATGGTCCCAAGTGCCTTAAGATCACTCACAAGATCCTCCCGTGTAGTTCTGGGCTGATCCCTCACTTTTCTCATGATCATCCTTACCCCAAATCTTGCATGGAGCTCCAAACCGAGGGCGATTGGCGGTTATTTTGTATTCCTTCCATTTACGAATAATCGCTCCAACGGTTGTTTCCTTCTTCCCAAGCTTCTTGCTGATAGTCTTGTAGCCCATTCCAGCCTTGTGCTGGTCTACAGTCTTGTCCCTAATGTTCTGTGACAGCTCTTTGGTCTTGCCCATGGTGGTTAGGATTGAATGGAAGAAAGAGATTCTGTGGACAGGTGTCTTTTATATACATAACGGGTTGTTGTTAGGAGCAATTTCTGCAATTGACAGGACTAATCTGTGTACCACATAGCCAGTCTGTGGGGGCCAGAATTATTGTTGGTTGGCAGGGGATCAAATCATTATTTTCCTCCCTGTATATGTGCATTTTAATGCCTTGTGTATAGGGCAGCCCGGTCATTCCAATGGGCTGCACTGTGCACGGTGATTGCACCAAAACGCGTCACACGCAAGGCAATAAGGCATTTGCAACACTTT